TTTATCTCATCGTAAACCTACAAATATTGTATTTTGCGAAAAAGGGGCGCTATCAATCTGGAGATCGGCAAACTTTGTCCACTTAATTAGGTACTAAAAGCTCTTGAATACCCGTTTGCTTTCCACTTGAATCGTAAGATAATACCATATAACATAATCGAAAAAAAGGTATCCTACAAAAATCTCGTTATTTTGACATTTTGGTGAGGGTTACGCCAAACGGTACAATATTTTTGTAGGCCAATTTTTTCCCCCCCATTTTGTGATGATTTAATGGTGACGCAGATGTTGACGATTCAAGTGGAAAACTAACGGGTATTTATGAGTTTTTAGTACCTTGTAAATAGACAAAGCTTGCTGATCTCCAGATTGAAAACGCCCCAATTACGAGAATTATTGCAAATAAATCATTTTTAGGTTATGATCAGATAAAATTATATACGAAGTTTCTGGTGGATGTTGATAATTTGATAAAAAAGAGTCTGTACCACTGACTGATATGCGTCGGAGAAGCATTCGACATTTCTCAAAAGAATGTTTGACGTCTCTCTCTGTTAGGGATCTGCTTCAATTCAATTTATAAACTAAACTACATAAACTTGATCAGCGAAGTTTAACATAGGAAAACAATTAGAAGTTCAAAGCAAGGTGCAGGGTGGGACTTTTAAATCGGTATAATTCCTGTGCCCTCTCCTTCGGCCCCGAAAAAAAAACCTTCCTAGCTTATAAGGCAAGGAATAGGAGACGGAAAAAAAAGTATTCCGTTTACTTATGTTGATTACAAGTATTGTTGAAGTAATACTCTTCACCAACATAAAATTATTATTTCATAAAATTATTAATTATTGTTATTAGTTAATAACATTCAGAGTGATACGAGTTTATTTTAAAAATGTATAAATTACTTATTAGATATAAGATTAAACTTCCTGACAACTTACACCCATATTTTCTCCAGAAAATCATTGATTGTATTACCAAATTAGTTACAATGGTTTGGCCCTGGGTATTTTACATGGTTTTAACTGTGGACTGTGTCTGCTATGCGTTTGTCCTTTTCATTATTGTCTTAGAAACCGATTACATGTCCATCATTCATTACTAAGAAGATGGATTTTTCGTGCGTAACCAATAAAAATGAAGCTACAGATCATAATTTTATTAAAGTATATTTCTTTATCGTTGCCTAAGAGGATCGAAACCCACATTACTAAGTCAGAGGCATAAATGAACGATTAACAGAAACCTAAATTGACCCTTAACAAAAAAAAATTAAATTATTACATTTGCAAATATTAGGCCTCGCTCAATCGGTTACCTTTACAATGATAGCTGGCTAAACGAGACGAATGTAAATTGGTTGGTCGGCAATTCATGTTCCAAAACTTGATTCCACTTTTTACTGTCCAAAGTGCTACTTCATCATTCATGTAGCAACTCAATTACGCTCTCAAGCTAAGTGGATCACGTTCCACATATACTTCAACCATTCAATAAAACTAAAACTCTAACAGCATTTTAAGAGAAGAATGAAAATCAAATTTGATTTACATAATAAAGAAGAATTTTTTTTTCTATAACCCATTAAATTCACTAACAAGTTTATTTAAGTTTTCTTTTAATATATTTATGCGTATTATGCCAATTCAACAATGTTTATCAAACCCAACGAGGATTTTATCCACAATTTAACTCTGGTACTTTCATAATATATCTTGAGTTTATTGCCAAAAGTCATTCAGTAACATTACATTAAATCAAATTACACTGCCCTACAAACAATTTTTTTTTGCTTGCTTCTTCGATGAAAACTGTTTCTCTTGCCTAATTTTGGAACACGAATTTTATGTCAGAATCCTTATATTAGCTACCGTTCTGCAGATACGTGTATCCAGTATCGAATATAAAAATATAAGTTATTGGATGTTACACGATCACTTTTTAGGCTTCAAAAGTGCTTTATTATTTATGAAATGTATTTACAACCAATAAACATTAAATTATAACTGCTCTCGGCAAGAACAAAGCTGTTCTACAGTTTATTTAGAACGTTTCTTCTTTTCTTGACGATTGTACTGATGTTCTGGTAAATTTCATAAAATTTTGGTGAGCGGTATGTTAACACCGCGTACACTCGTATCTTTATATTTTCTATTGTTATTTTGTCTCACCATTTATACTCTTTTTGAGTGTAAATGGCATAAATGTTTATTATTTTTTTTTTTTTGTAGTAAGCCGACTTGTAGACAATAGCCGACTTTGTAGTAAGTTGTGATATTGTCCCTAAAATGTATCTGGGTGTATATTGTTTATATATTTAGGTTTATTCGCGATGTTTATCGCTTATTTATATGCACCAGCCCGGCAGTATTATCCAGTCTTAGGGATAAAGACATCAAAATAATGCCATAATATTGCCGGGTCGTCAGTCTGGAACTATCTTTCGTTCGTAGTGGACGTCTGCCTCCACCAGCTCCAGGTTCACCTCACCTCGCCTAGCGCCATTTTCAAAGAGCAGCTGTTTGGCGCATCGGCAGTCGTCGATCGATCGGTTCGATATTTTCTCAGCAAAGGTTATGTGGTAGTTTTTAGTTTTTCTAGACGTTAAATTGTATTTTAGTGAATCTTTTTTTCTTATTACTGATTTACAATTTTAGAAGTTTATTTCATTTTGTTTTATAAATAATTCTTAATTTGCTTATGTTCACTGAATATTATGTTTTGTGTTTTTTATTCATTTCAGTGAATTTCATACCATTGTTTATTTTGTTTTTTTCAATTTTGTATATACCTCTTTTATTTAATAATATAAACTGTAAACGTTCAAAAGGAGATTTTTATTTTCCATTACTGATTTATTGAATATTTTCATTTTCTTTATTATTTGATATTTATGCATTTTTATGTTTTACAGGTCTCATATTTACTCTTTTTATTTTTCTTCTTTCCCAACAATTAATTTTTTGCTCGAATTTTCTCACCTTTGAGGAAACTCACCGGGGAAAGGTTTGTGTTTTAATTTTGAAATACCCCCGGCCCACACACACATACAACATACATACACACACACACATATATGTATATATATATATATATATATATATATATATATATATATATATATATATATATATATATATATATATATATATATATAATAAAGAATATTATTGAAACCAACAAATCGAATTTTATTTCAAATCCATTTCTGAACTTTTACGTTTCAGGGCGTTTACTCTGGCCTGAGTAAATACAATGTGAATAGCGCGTGGGACGTAGTATAAAAACATTGCTTTAAACTCTGAAGTTGGTTCAAGCAGTCGAAAAATAACAATAACAATAATTCGATTTTTTTTTAATGTGATTGTGACTATTAATATATTTTTGTCGGCTGGACATCTAGGGAGATCATAGAAAGAATAAAGTTGGCCGCCTTATGCTTCTATTCTTTTATCGTTGGCTTTTAAGTTAATAAAAATCTATATAACACTAAGTTTATCCGCTTACTAATTTTTGCCTCTAAATCATGGATTGTTATCTCAAGACACAGGAGCCGAATTCGAGCAACGTAGATGAGGTACCTACCTGAGAAGGACTGATGAGGAAAAAAGAAGGTAAAATACCAGATATGACAATAAGGAGTAACCTGAGACTAATATCCGCTTTATGTATAAAATAACAAATAGGCTACGGTAATTTGGTCATGATAAAAGAAATAAGGTGAACAGAATGGCCAAAGTCACTTATAAAACGTGAGTAGAGGGGAATAATTCAGAGGAAGGTCCAGAAAAATATGGGGAGATGTAGTTAAAGAGACATTCTAAAAAGGAGGAATGGATTAGTAATGACGTGTTAAGCTGGTACCGGATCGAGACTAATGAATCAGGACCTAAATCTAGTCCATAACTGCTCAGCGGTTTAAGAGAGCATCATTAAGATGAATACATGTTTTTTAAAAAGGGATGAAATGACAATAACTATTAACATTTTTAAAATTTCTTTCTGGCCTCTACCCTAAAATTCATTAGCGTTTTAATATATTTTATATTCTGTTGTAGTACTTTATCAACCTTAAAAATTTAAACACATTAGAGACTCGCTCTTCACTATCCTTCACAACGTCTCTTAATGTTTTTGCTAGACTTATTTTTTTTTTAATCGAATTGCGGCATACTTTCAGTAGGTGTTCACTAGGAGATTCACTGTTTGCGAAGTATTATTTCATTTTTCACACGTGGCGCTTCAAGACCTCTTAGAATTTAACTATGCGTAAACTGGCGTTTTAAAATCTCGAGACGTCACAGCATGATTTCTTCTCTCCTCTAACTTCTGGAGCAAGTGAGTCATTTACCACACTTTCAGTTCTGTTTCATTTACCAGCCGTGTTTCACTTCTGTCGGTTGATCCTCTTTGTTTTATCAATTATTTCTCCCATTCTGCTAGTAGTCTTTTCTTTGTGTGGTGTACCCACTCTCCTAAGGTAACCTCTTTAAATCTAGTTACGTGAGTTTCTTTACCAATTCTAGCTAAATGGGCTGCATGGTCATCATTTTCATTTCTCAAAATATCGCAGTGGATTGGTACCCAAGCGGACACTACAGCTATACTCTTTTTTCCTCCCATTATTTCTCTAATTATAGAATTTCTCGGACATGGATTGTCTATGTAAGCTAGACGAGTTCACGAGTTCGTCACAGCGACCCGGCAATTTTTTTTTCCTCCTAGGTAACAAACAGCATTCATGATGGCAATCGCGTCTCCTATGAATATGGATCATTCTCCTGGCGGTTTAAACAGGAACTGTTTCTTCAACCACGTTAAAGCGCATCCTACGCTATATATCTCATTCCATATATGAAATTGACGTTTATATTGACATTTTTGTATCATTATAGCGAATGCAAAGTAATATGGTCCAAACTAGATTATTCCAATTCCGCTACATTTGACATGTATAAAATAAAGCAAATAATATATAATATTAATTATTATCAACTAACTTGTATTCAGGGTTGCTTGGGTGGGAGGTTGTCAGCTTGAGAACCGATCGGAACCCATGGATGTCGTACTCAACAGGACGCACTCCAGGGTGATGGAACCAAGGATCCTGAAGCCAAGGGTCCAGATAATCTAGAAATGAAAATATTTTTTAATGCTTTGCTTAATTATTTTACATCGAATGTTTACCTAAGGTTAATATAAAAATTATTCCATAACTTCGTGTAAACTATTGATTTTATTGTGTATACATATTTTGGTAAAATCTAATAAGACGTTGTGGACTTGCACAGCTCGTATATTTATTTATGGAAATTGCATGATCTTAATAAATTTAATGTGAGATCTCAATATTAATATCTTTAACAGTGTTTTACAGTCAACTAAAAAAAAATAAATAAAAAAAAATTAGAATTAACTATATACTATGGCCTAATTATTATAAAACCAACTGAAAAGTTCCGATTTTGGATAAACAAAAATTATGCGATTTTTACAATGGTTGTAAAATAAACAAAAATTAGATACGCCATCTAGAGGACTCTTATGCCTGGCATTCCACGGGTACCATGAACGGCAGGGCAGATCTGTCTTGCGGTCAAACGAAATATAAAAAACAAATGAGGAAATGAGTTGAACGTACGTTCAATGGAGCATTTGGGAGGATGAATATTCAACTTAAATATTAAGAGACTTTTACATTTTTATTTCAAATAAATAAATAAGCAAACATTTTTCTTCTTACTGGTAAAGCGAAAATACCTTACTGTCACCGAACCCCGTATTCCAGAAATGGTCAGGCAGAGGAAAAAAAAATGTAACGAGAAAAGTTATAATAACAGTATTCTATAGATACGAGCGTTATCAATGTTTCTACGAAAAATTGGTCCCAACAATTGCAATGTGGGTGGACGAAACATTACTGATGGAAAGCTGAGTTTGAATAAAAACCACCGTTTCTTTTACTTATTTTTATAACATTAAATAAACTTCTGAAAGAATGGTATACGAAGCCATTTTAAAGCTGTAAAATATTATTTGGTAACCTGTAAAATAGTTTATGCGGTTTCAATTCAATCCTAAAAAAAATCAATTTATTTTTAAAAAAGTTTTAATTAATTTTTCAATTTCGCAATGATACTTGCGGGAGCTCAGATAGCCTGGAGGGGGTCACCCAACCTCACGTTGCTACGGACCATGGTTCCCATGGTGCAGGGGCAGGCCACCCGTAGCTCCATAGCCGATCCCTTTGGGGCCAATCTGGCAATGTCCTTCCCACCGACTTTCTCGGGATCAAGGACAGTGACAAATCGGTCTAGAACCATGGATTGTGGCTGCTCGGAGTCAGCAGGCGCCCGAGGACCTATATTTCTTTCCCCGAAACAGACCGTCCATGGACCGATATATATATATATATATATATATATATATATATATATATATATATATATATATATATTATATATATATATATATATATATGTCCATGGAAGGTCTGTTTCGGGGAAAGAAATATAGGTCCTCGGGCGCCTGCTGACTATATATATATTGCATAATTTTGCACCGAATTATCAATGACACTTTCAGACATATATTTTTAAATTACTGGATAATCCTCATAATTGTTTTAAGAACACAAAATTTATGTTAAATATATCTGTGAGTCGAGTCGGTAAGTTTAAATCATACAATTTAATTATTCGTTTTACGCTATCTCCTCTCTATCTCCCTCCTAATCCACTTCGGTTTAACTCACTAAAAGCATTTGTTCAGCAGACCGTAAATAGTATTGATTTTAATCTCTAATAGCTTAATCAACTGTTTAAGCTTCCTGGTCAGCAGATAATTACCTTACCATTAAATTAAATGAAAAATGAGACTGAAATTTCAAAAATATTATTATATTAATAAGTGAAGATTTAGATTCGAAAACCTTTATAATTATTTTGAAATAATGTTTCAAAAACCTTTGTAATAACATGTATACAATCAATGAAAAAAATTTGTTTGTGTTTACATAATTAGAGAGTATCTCTTATAGAGACTTTGTTAATAATAACAAAGTCTCTATAAGAGATACTGTATTTTATGCATTAGTGGAAAAACGACTAGTTAGTTGAGGGAGTCTGTTGGTCAGTGTTGTCGACTGGGAGTTTTATTGAGGTTGTTAGTTTTGATGATGCAGTGTGTAAAAGATTAGTTGTGAATGTTTTTACCTAGATAGAGCATTTTTCATCTATGATTTATTTTATCTCTGTACATGGATCAAGAAGAGATACGGAGCAGCTTTATATTATAGTTCAGTTTTAAATTTAAATAATTATGACCTCATATCCCACAGTATCCTTTAATAATACCCCACTTATCCCTGTTGAACAAATCCGATACCTTGGACTTCACTTGGACAAACGTCTAACTTGGAATCCTCATACCAGACTGAAACGACAAGAAACCGCTCGACGTTTTTGACTACTCCAACACTTACTAGACAAACGCTCTGAGCTTCCAGTTAATTACAAAAAACTTATATACATGACTACAATAAGACCTATTTGGACTTACGGAGTTGAGCTTTGGGGCTCCACTAAGCCATCGAATTCCTCTCGTATCCAATCCTTACAATCCAAAATCCTTCGGAAAATCCTCAATGCTCCTTACTTTGTCACCAATAAAATAATCCATAATGACCTTAATGTTCCTTATGTTTCCGATTTGGCCCAATCCAGATACCAATCCTTCCATAATAAACTTCAGAACCATCCGAATCCTCTCGTCTCTAACCTTGCTTCCTCTTCTATTCCTGATAAACCTCCGAGGCGTCTGAAAAGAAGATGGCCTCGAGATCTCTTATTGTAAATACATTTTGTTTTTAGAGTGCTACCAGTGGGTAGTTTCTCAACAAGTCATTTCATGTTATTATTTTCTGTTATCAAATTTACTTAATGTATTTAATTTTTTAATACAGTTGTAAATATCATGAATAAATAAATAAAAAAAAAATTAAATAATAAACATGAAATGAGTGGACGGCGGATATATTGTACTTTGGAATAGTGTTGCCCAAAATCGGTCTTGGTCCTTGCACTTTGCGATACCAAGACCAAGAACGCCTGACTGATGCAAGACCAAGACTGTTAAAAAAATATCGTTTTTGTGAATAAAAATGAAGACAAAATAGTTATTAGTACTTGACTATTTGAGTTACTATTTGTAAAGAATTGGTATAACTAATATACTTTTGCATTTAACTCTTCCAATTGTTCATTCGGACTTAGTTAAGTTTCCTCTATCTGAAAAATTACAGTAATATCTCTGTAATAATAGGCTAATTGGTAACTGCAAAACTCGTCTTGGTCTCGCATTTGGGCAACACTACTTCGGAGGGAATAATTATTAATTTTGAAAAATGTTCTTGGTTTGATTTTAAGATGGATTCAACAAAATTATTATTGAAAAGCGAGTTAATCTTCCTAGAATAACTTCTCTTTTTGAATTGAGTAATTCACTGTTTACATAATTTATTTTATTTTATTTTTTTAATCTGTTCGTTTTGGTACTGAAAATCAATAAAATAATATTAATAAATTCCAACAAATCTAACACATAAAGAATTTCGTTTCTTCTAACTGCATTTTTTTGAGGACTTGTTCTCCATATTTTAGTAATATGGACCCTCTGTGCTCTATAGTTACGGTATCAACTCAGAAACAGTTCATTTTTCAGCGGTTTGAATGATATAGTGGCCATGGCTGAGAACAATGCAGATCGATTTCCGATACCTAAACGAGTTAGGTGGACATCGTCCACTCTGCAATGTGATTGATGATGAACTGTCTGAATAAAGTGGTTTCAATTAAATCCTAAAAGTCAAAAAAGAGTGTGAATTTAAATAGAAACCATGCCGTTAATAATGCTTATCGACGGTATAGCTCAAAATAATTTAATAGCACTGAAGATGGGGGTTGATCACTCGGTTTATGGGGTGATTAGTCAGGATATCATGGAAGAACTGTTCAGCCGTTGAAGAAGGGAGATGTACTCCAATAAATCCCTCGACAATGCGGACGAAGCTTGAGATGGTTTTTATTAAAAAAGAAGCAACTAAATTCTAGACGGAGAACTTGGTAACATACTACAAGCAAACAAAATATAATGATTAAAAAAAAATGAGAAAAGCCGGAAAATAATTTTAGGCAAAATTTCATCGAGGAAAAGATGGTGGAAGAGCGGGGGTGATGAAATATATAACGTCGGTTTATTGCAAAAATCAACAAGTAATATTTCAGAAAATTATATCATTAGCAGGATGAATTTTCCCTCCGTCCAATCAAAACATTGTTCACTTAGGCGTAATTATTTTTTATATGAATGGAAGTTAATGTAATTTTGTATTCACTTGCAGGGTTATTTCATATTGAAGATGTTAGAAATTCACAAATAAGTAATTAAAATTGTATCCCAATTTAGGTCAATAATATTATGGAAATGCTTTCTTTGTATAAGGTTTGTACATACAGAACGGAATATGTCCCGGTGTTTAGCGATCTCTTTGTCTGTATCGCTGAGGATAAAGCGCTCTGAGTGACAGTGATAATGAGATGGAATGTAGAACTAGTTCACCTCCGATAGTAACCAGAACATATACCGATCTGTTTGCAACAACGTTAATTCTCTTCTCTCTTGACAGTATATAATTGAAAATTGTGATGAATAAATGAATAAAAATCATCAGAAAACAGTCTGACCCCGTATCAATTTGGTTTTAACTTTATAATTAGAGTTATAATACATCTACACTAGAAGATCACTAGGCCATCTTCTTTCCAGACGCCTCGGAGGATCATCAGGAATAGAAGAGAAACCATGCTTAGAATGAAGATAGTTCGGAGGGTTCTGAAGTTTATTAAGGGAGGATAGGTATCTATATTGGGCTAAATCGGAAACATAAGAAAATTTAAGGTCGTAATAGATGATTTTATTAGTGACAAAGTAAGGAGCTGGGGATTTTACAAAGGATTTTGGAGTGAAAGGATTGGAAATAAACAGAAAATGAAGACTAAATGGGAACAGATGTGTCCGAATGGTAATTGTGGAAATAAATTGTGGGAGACATTTCCTCTTGGATATTAACAAATAGAAATAAGAGGTAATTCTTACGCGCCTGTGGCGTATAGTTACACACGCCTTCGAAAAATCACATGACCCATGATTTTTCGCTAACATCCCATTGTGGGAATCTTCTGACAGTAAAACACATTTTAGCAGAATGCAGAGCTTACGAAACACTTAGACTATCATGTGGCTTCACAAACGATCTACACATCATTTTACAGGACAATACGAATGAACAAAGTTTATTTTTCTGAATTGTTCAAAACTTGACAATAGAATTTAATTCTTAATGAAAATAAGCCTTTAACTTAAAAAAAAAAAAAAAAAAATCTAAGGTGTGTGTTTTAGCCCACACTATAGAAAAAGAGAAAAGTAAAAACATCAACAAGTCGAGATTAATAATATGAAATATAAATTATAAATAATAGCTCATCTAAAGAGGATGAAATGCAGAACATTTATCTGCAACAATTATTATTTATACTATTTCTCTTCTTATTCTCACTGCGTAACTGATTTAAGATTTTTAATTTGGGTATGAGGTTATATTGTATCCCAGTCAATTGTTTTTAACACATCTTCCAATTTATATGGTATAATACATTTTCTAAAACAAAACAGACCAAATAATATTTACCTATTTTATTTATTATTATTTTATTTATTTCAATCATTTGCTTCACCTTCGCTGTGTATTTTACTTCATAGTTATTATCAGATTTTAGGTTATTGAATGAGTGACTCAGATATTGAGCCAACTTTTTCAGTTTCCTCTTTGATATTACTGATGATAGAACTAAGCGGAGCGCCACTTTTATGTAACTTTACTAATCCATGTATTCTAGGTGTATTGTACTTAGCGTTAATTAGTTTAATTTTGTTTAATAAGAAATTTTAAAGTTAATAACAAAGTTCTATTGCATAAAATATAGACATCGAAGCAAAGCCAATCTAAAAAAATTTCTTAATGATTATTTATTTATAAATTAGTGAGTGATACTTACTAGTTTATAAATTTCTGCTATTATTATCATTTATATTATTTCTCTTCTTATGTTTTATATATTGTTAATGATGTTGTCAAAATAAAATTTCAATGTTGTAATAATGTTAGCATTTGTACTATAAATTAGAATAAACTCGTTATCATTTGGATTTGGACACTCTCTTTTTGCCTCTTCTACACTCTAACAGGGTGTTTGCTTAAGATACAGTTTTGGATAATAGCTCCTAAAGAAGAGCTAGTCGTTTCAGTATTGTATAAGGATTCCAAGTTAGGCATCTGTCCAGGTGGAATTCTATGTATCGGATTTGTTAATTATTATTATTATTATTCTATTTTTTTTATATCCAGTCCTAACAAGTATTTTACCTATAGCCTCCCCCCCCCCTAATTAAGAAGGTAATGGTCTAACTTCCCACGGGGACCAGTCGTATTATGAAGTTGGGCCGGGAGTTAATTATTATTACTAGATTTATATAAAAATAATTTTATAACAGAAAAAAATTTAAAATTGAAAAATGATTCGGTTATTTTTTAATCTATATAATTTCTATAGATGTGTTGAAACTTTTTCTGGATACATTGTTTATAGGTACATTATTTTAATACAAGAAAGCGCCTAATTTGTAGTGGAAAGTATGATTGTTTACGCGGTATATATTTTGTAGATTTTTCCTATGAATATTCTAGTAAAAAATATTTTTGAGTAGTTTTCTAAAATGAAAAAAACGTTACATGTGTGGTTTCCGAAATAACCGATTTACTTTTTAAAACAATACTTACCCCTCTGGATGATATTCTTCCTTCGTTCAGGGTTGTATATCTCATCATCGGCTGAGATGACGATGTATTCCCCCTTCTCGAGGAGGCCTCTCTTCCGAAGGCATTTGACGAAGTCTACCAATGCCACGTGATCTCCGACAAACACGTAAACTGCGGGAAAAAGAAATATATACTTTAGAAAACAATTATTAATAATCAATATGTTACTGTTGTAGAAGCCCAAAAGGACCACATGTATTGTCACACGAATCAGTATCCACATAGCACTAGCGGATCCAGGATTTAATTTCGGTGGGGGGCTTCAGCCCGAAAGATTTTTGTTCATATACATATAACGATAATTAATTTGAAAAAAAAACAAAGAAATTAATTACCTATATGAAATGGTGTTTAAGTGGTTATTGAAGTCCTATTAAATATAATTACACGAACAAGAATACTTTAAGAGATAATTTTTAATATTTTTTTCTGTAAAACATAGCTATATTTTACCATTTTTTGGGGGGGAGGGGAGCTTCAGCTCGAAAGCCTCCTCTCCCCGTCGATCCGCCTATGTCACATAGTATGTGGCACATACACATCTATATCTATTTCTATATACAGACACTGATTACATGTAGATATGCATATGCCTTGACTATTTAAACTATATATGCCAAACAAAAGAAAAAAAAAAAAACTTGTTGGCGCGGAGCTTAGTAAGTGAAGCCTAGAGCGGATTAATTTTCAAAAACCTTTAAAATACAATGCTTCCCTACCTTCGTTAGTTAAAAAAAAATACAAATATTAAATGTATTTTCCTCGTGTATATACATTTTTAACATCTTGTTTATTGTATGTAATGTTTAGTTGAATAATGAGCCAGATGAATATAGATATAATGAGGAACTTAGATATAATGCCAAACATCCGCCTACTTTCTCTAAGTTCTATCCTTCCTCTTCTTAATGTGTTGTTATTCTTTAGTAAAAGCGTATTAATAAGATTAATTAAATCTGCCCACAAAGAGAAAATTACTACAAAAAATAAAAATAAAAAAAGACTCATCTGATTTTCTTTAATCGGAACTTTTTCATTTGATGCTTTTTAATTTTTTTTATAATAAAATTTGTTACACGCTGCAGATTATTACACAATGGTTTATTATTTCCATATAATTTTACATCAAAATAAATATTACTATCCAAGTAACATAAAGGAAAATAAATAAAAGATGATTGCTGATATTGGCACAATTTTTTTTGTCATCATTGATAATTAGCATAAGAAAAATAGATAACTTTGCTTCAGTGTAAAAGTTTCAAAAAATTAAAATCAAAACAAAAGATATAAGCTTTGCAGTATAATATATGAATAACATTTAGAACACCATATCTTTCAATCTAATAGTCTGATTTCAACAATTTTTGAGGAAATTTCGTTACTATTTAAATATTAAAAAAAAAAAAAAAATATATATATATATATATATATATATATATATACATATACAACATCAATAACAAAGTTTATACTTCTTGAGTTATTGGAAACCTAATTTTACTACACCTCGTAACTGTTTAAAAGAGTATTGAGGAGACTTTAGCCAACTTTCATTGAAATTGATACATTCGTTTAAGCAGTACAATCTATACCAACACAGGTTTTTTGGCCGGCATTTTAAAAGGAAAGGGTGGATAGTAATATCGAGGTAGGAGGATCATCTTCGAGCGACCTCTGACTTTGATTCCAAATTTGAAAAAAATTGGTCCAGTAGTCACGGAGAAAAGTCGCGGACAATTTTTTTTTTATTCGATTTTAGAATTCTACGTATCTTGAAACTTAAAACCTCAAATTTCGAGGGGGGTTAATTTTTTTGACGAATACAATAGTTCATTGTTAAAAATAATAAACGAAAATCTCTTGCGGTAAGCCCCTGCGTTAAGTAAGGCACGGGTAGTTAGTTCCCTTCACATCCCCAAGATACACCACTGCAAATAATCTATGGTGGCCAGTTGCGAAAATTATTTTAAAAATTTCTAATCAAATAAATTCCCTACCTTCCACCCTTAACCACTTTTTGATGGATCAATTCAATGCAAAAACAACCTTATTTCAATAAGAATTTAGTTTCAAAGCTTGAAACAGCAAATCGTCAAATAATGTTTAATTTAAAACCAGCTTTAACGACGCAGATGGTCTGGTGGTATAAATGAAAGTTATTGTGAAAAGGTTGATTAAATTACCATGATATGTTAAAGAAGGAGATCTCCCATCCAGCGCCTTTTCAGCCACCTCCTCATATAAATGGGAATTTCAAATTAAGCATGTCCATGTAAATCAATATGAAATCATTGGTTTCCTTAGTCAGATACCAGTGTTTCAGTTATGAGTTATTGTAAGTGGTTCTTTTTAGCTATATTGTATATCCGTGAGTAGTAGGTTTTAGGTAAGTATATGTATGTATTTAGTTTCCTTATCAATTCTAGTTTTGAATATTGCATTAGTATCGATGAATTTTAGATGAACGCCAACTCCTTTAAGTTAATCATGGCGCAGTATTTTACTAGGAGTCCAATAAGACACGCCAAATCGGAAAATTTGTCTTTTATGATTTTCTATCTATAGTATTTATATTATAGAGTTTTAGGATTAACATAGGGAAATGATAGATAATTTCTATAATTATTATCCTTTCACGGCGCTACAACCCGGTTATGATTCTTGGCCTCCTCTGGAAGTTCCTCCAATCGTCACATTATTCTGCCGACACCATCCAGTTCCTAACTTCCAGTATCTTGCCTCTCCATCTAACCACCTCAACTTCGTTCTCCCTATTCTCCTTGTTCCATGGATTTTATGTGTCAGCAATATTATAGGTATTGCTTTCAAAACGCCTGCTTCCCTGGAATCATGGTACAGCTCGTGCGTCACTTCCTCCATACATTACACCTCCAAAAACACGGCGGAGAACTTTTCATTCAAAAATTCGGAGTTCTTTTTCAGTTGCTTTTAAAGCCGTTCAGCACTCCGATCAATAAAAAAATATGGGTTGGACCATTGTATTATAAAGGAGAAGCTTGGTCTGCCTGGAAAGTATCCGTTCTTAGCTGTCTGTTCAACGGAAAAAAAGCATTTGATCCTTCTCCTTTTCACAACATTAAGATTTTCATCCCGAGTAACCACGATTCCTAGGCAACTACATTTTAATAGTCTCACCTGGCTTTAGTATGTATTGTGTCACCATGTACTTTTGAACTCATTACCTCCCCCAATCACAGAAATCTAAAAACCTAAACAACAACATGTGACAATTATCTCATGAATTCCGAGGTTTTTTGCTGGGATGATTGAATGGTGAAACTTTTAAGGGCTTTAAAAATTGGGGAACGTCTCCCCATTTTTAAAACCTACCTATTACATCTGAATCTGCTGATATACACCACCTTTGGACTTTTGAATGCACTTTCAATTTTATTTAAGTTGTAGTAAGAATATACGGAGTGAAATTTGAATTCGGTACCTGTCTATATAATAATCTTTCTTTTGGCATCTCGTTTGTCAAAACCCATTGCTCCAGATAGCCGAAAAAGAAGTCAATATTAAAAAATTAATTCATAGCAATTTGGTAATTAATAACTATTAATTAATAGTAAATCAAATCATTTTATTAAATAATTTTCTTAGTAGTGGTTTTGTTTTATTTTACATCATTGACATTTATAAAAAAAAAAAAAAAAGCCAAAGGCAAAAATATCCGTTGAAATGAATTTCCACCTTTTAATATCAGGTTCTTAAGTTAATGAAATATCTTCTCGTATCCTGAAACGTTTCTCGTTTTTTACAGAACACGATATTTTTAAATACAGCTAATTGAAAGACAAGATTCAAAGACAGCCAGAAATGGATTGAAAGCTAAAGTTCAATCTCTTTATAAAAATTTAAATTTTCTTAGACTAAAGGAAAAAAAAATGATTAGGAATGAAGAGAGCCAAATCATTGCCTGGGAATTATTATTTTGTTTTCGGGACAATATTTGGAGCGGTCTTAATAAACAACACGCGGACTAAATTGAATACGATTAATGTGTACGAGTAGAATGCACAATAGAATGCATTTATTATGAATCTTTTTAAAATTCAATGTTTATTTTTAACCATCAGTGCATTATATGCGATTCATTCGTTAGACTGTATTATTGAATAATCGGATTGATAGATCGTAACAGGAAATCCTGAACATTATTTTCCGTTGTTATTATTGGAAGATGCGAAAAGAAATAAATTTGAGCACTGGCTCAATTTTGACACGGCTTCAAGTTCGACACCAATCAAATCCGACCACAACCTCGTAACCCCAATTGGGCTATTGACTTCACCACCCAATTAGATACTGCTTGTTCGAACAAATATTTATTCATGAACAAAAATCTTCTTAGTCTGAAGTGCAAATATACATCTGTGTATAAACATATTTGTTTAGGAATGAATGTCACCAACTTAATGGGCAGGCGCTCACTCAAACCCTTTATGATAATAGTTGACTGGATGAAATAAACGCAATGAACATGAATGTCAAAACACAAGTAAAAATATATTTTCCAAAGTACATGCGGGAAAAGGGGAAAGCCAAAAATAATACAATTATCATAATTTAGTGAGTTGTAATTTTGTGATGGGACTGGAATTTGTAGTTGGCGAATGTCGTAGAAAAAAACTATGATGAAATTTGAAGGCGTAGTCAGGCTGTGGTGTTATTGTAAGTAGAAGAAAATCTAAATGTTCGAACTTACTCAGGTTAGGATTTTTGCGTCAATACCAAAAGAAAATGAGCTGAATTTGTGGCCACTTTTATCTTCTCCTTATCATCCTTGCGACCCCTTTTACGGGGTAACGTTCTCTTCTTTACTTCGCCATGCTTTCAGAACATACTGGAGAAGAACAGAATGTATTCGGTTAGCCTGGGTTCCAACTCTTCCATTTTTTTTTTCGGCAGGGTTCGTCCAATGCAGTCGGGCATAAGAGACTGTCAACTGTTTATGATTTTCGATATTTCGGGAATCCGAAACAATATTACTGCACTGTACTTTTTGTGCATCTGAATCCAAACATCTTATCTTACGTTATTTTACATCTAGCGAATCCCAGATATATTAACAGATTTGAGTGTACTAGTAATACCTCTTATCCAGAAATTAAAGAGCAACCAATATTTTCCTTCATCGCGTATCCAACTAGAAGTGACATTAATCATGAAGGAACTCAAAGATACAGAGCAATTATCCTAAACCTTATTTATTTATTATTTATTCGACTATAGCTATATGAAAAATATGACCTTAGTTCAATCAACCAGATATAAATATGAAAAAAAGATGTCTACCTGATTCGATGTCATATTTTCGTATTGCACTTTCGAAAAGGTTTGGTTATTTTTAAAGCTAAACATCCTTAACTTTCATTCAAACCGATCCCACTTATCAACTTTTGCAACAAATAGTATTCATACATGTATTTAATTTGATCATGTATTACATTTAATTGCTGCAATTTAATACAATGCTCAATAATAATAACAACAACTTATATTTTATTCAGAATAAGTTTTATTTAATCAGGTATCTTCAAATCAAATCAAGCCTTTGCAACATAAATGAGGAGAAAACTTTTATGTTTATTTTAATAACGGCATGAAAAGGAGTTGTTTTTTTTTTGTTTTGTTTTTTGGTATGGACAAGAAGACTTAAATGAAATAAGTCTGCAAAGAAACGTTAGATATCTCAGTTTGTTTCACATATGTTTTCACAATAGACTATAAAAATAAGAATCCCAATAAATTTAAAGGACGTCTAGAAATGAAAACCTGTTATTTTTTAACTTCGTTTTGTCATCACTTATCAATAGCGCATGTCCATGCACTCTGATAGGTTATTATTTTATTGTTTGTTTAGTCAAAATTTATTTATGAGATAGATTATTTATAATGATAATTTAAAATATCGTTAACAATAATATTATTTTGTATCTTTGATTTCTTTATTTTTAAATCTGAAGTGAGCATGCAAACAAATTCAAATTACGATTCAAGAAATGGTAGAGTCTTGTTTCAATACTATTTCTGTCTTCGCATAGTTTGCTTGTAAAACGAGGAAATCATGAATTAGAAGTACTTTGTAAATTATAGTTACGTTGCTTTATATATCTATAATAATAAAACATTTTATTCAGCTGTCGCAAATTGTTTTTCAAAGTCCTTTTATAAAATACAACAATAGAAATCCTGGCAGAGACCAGCTTCTCAACTGAAGTCCTGAACGAAGGCTTCAATAACAGTAATAAAGTTGAGAAAGAAATAATGGGATCCGACGGCATTGTGTTTTGAACTCCATATTTGCATGAAGGGGTTTGGTTCGCGGGGTTTCCAAAGTTTCGTTTTAAAAATTTTACAAATTTATATTATAATTGTATCAATGCGGGCCTGAAGGATGCTTATTTAATTATTGATGTGTAGTGAGGAAGATCATACTTACGAAATATATTTACAAAAATAAGTTTACAGACGATATATATTCAACAAGAAGTTGATGAACTATAAGATGATTTTTAAAATTTAATTAGTAATAATAATCACTTCATTAAATAAGTTTACCTCTTAAGTAGAGTTATGGTTCAAGCCCACTCACCAAAAAATATTCTTTAAAGAAAGAAAAAGTTGTATACTTTAGAGAAGTTTTCATTAATTGGCGGTTCTGAAAAATACTAAAGCTTCTGAAAAAAAAAAAAATAGTCATAGAAATACTTGTTTAATTACCTCTAGTCCTTTGGAATGTGACCTCGATGATATTCTCTAATTCTCTGATTTTCTTGGGAATGTAGTCATCTTTGAATTCCATTTCCTCGGTGACGACGAGGCCGTTTTCTGTCGCCAACTCCTGCAAATAGATTTTCTTATCTAATTGATTGAATAGCCATTGATCAATATGTGAACAATTGAATGCGATAGTGGTGTAAATTATTTTCAAAATAGATTGTTAATTTGTTAAAGGTTTATTAACTTCTTGTTTTTAATTTGATGGCTATGCTCGAGACTTTTTTTCCCTTTACTATTTCTGGCTTACGATCAGCCCTATTCTAAACAGATTGGAAAGGTCGGAACTTATTCTGTGAGTTCGTCAAGAAATAAATTCAACCCATCCAGGTTTCGAACCTGCGCACATTAGTGAAAAACGTCTATTTACCGAAAAATATTTGATCCCCGTTAAAAATTTTTTCGAGTCAAGGCTGAAATTGGGGTCATTATTAATGTATCTTCTCATTTTTAATCAAAGTGAATTCCATTTAAAGTTAAGTCGACAGCTTTACTGTTTTTGATATATTACGTTTTAAATTCCAAGTAATATTGGATAAAATTAAATCTGATTAATAAAATAATTTAAGCTGTATATATTTCACCAACTCTTTATTATTTTCCCTACCAACCTATCAGCTTTTAAAACCAATTTCAAGCCATCTGAAAATATCATTTATGACGTATCCAATCTTTAGTACTCCAATACAATTTTTTTATGGGAAGTTACGTTTTGAAACGTAATATTAATATTGAAGAAGGATAAGTCCCAACGTGTAGTTATGTGTATCTAGTTTTGATTTTACTCCATATTCGTAAATTACACCTCGATTTTCATCATATTCAATCAATGAAAACCAAAGAATTGAAAGACTATACCAAATTTAATTTTTTCCGTACTCGTTTATTTATGAAGATGACATTTCACTGAAAAAAACTCTAGTGCGCGCAACACACAACTTTCACTTACCTCTATACCTTGAATATAAATTATTTTCTGGCAATGTTGAGCATTTATGAAATTTTTGAGGTGCATTTTTAACGGAACTGAAGCTTAAAGCTTACAAATTACAGCTAACAAATCATTATAACCACTAAAATAACAACGGCCATATTAATTATTTCAACGGTAGACAATAAAAACCTCGCTACTCCATCTGGTTTTGTAAACCACATAACACCAGTCTTTGATATATATATGCCTAGATTTGAAAGTATACCTCTATATTCAACCTATAACTGATTATAGATTGTAGGCATATTAGTGATTACACTGTTATTTTTCATTGTAAAGTTAACTACAAAAAAATTACGAGATTTTCACTGTCTGCCATAGACAGGTCAAAAGTTTTTACACTAATTTTAAAAGGATAATGTTTGGATTCCACAAAAAAAAAAAAATTCATCAAATTATTCACTAATTTAATTTTTTAAAAGGTTACATGACGATTTTTCGGAATAAACGGACATTGATACCCTAATTATTTAAATAAAATATCAGATCTGGAATTAACTAAAGTAAATGTATTTAAGGTTAGAAACATATGCTTTATACATTTAAACATATTAAAAATATTTTTATATTTCACTTCTTCTTTCACATAAGCACTGTGAAATACTTTTTTTAACAATGCCATTGTCTTGATCAGGTAGATTTAAAATACCTTCTTAAACTTGAAAAAAATTTCAAAAGTTTACATTTAATAAGAAAATTTCACTTAATTTCCTGGAAAACATGTGATTTCCGTTAAATTATATTAGTTTTCACAAATTATTATTTATTATTTTTTGCCATTATCCATTATTTTCTACGATTTTCTGTATTAGATATTGTTTTTTTTTCTCAAATTCTCTGCTTTCCAGCGATATATTATACGTATACCTTATGACAAGTATTTTCGGAAATTCATTTTCGACCTAAATTTTTCCCTTTTATCTCCATTTTTCAATTATCAAATTCTTTCAAAAGTTATATTTAGCATTTATTCATAACTCTTAACATATTTAATACAGATTAAAATTAACAAGTTAATATTATTTAAAATTAACGAAATTAAAATTACTTTAGCTACTTTACATTTTGAACATTTAAGCCCTGTAAAGTGACATCAATGGGGATAACTTCTCAATGATATTAAAAACCACTTGATTACACAATGATACACCGAGTTTAATCAAAACCGTTAGAGCCGTATTTAAGAAAATTGTATAAATGTATATCCCGTTGATATAAAATGACACTTCCGATCAGCCAATTTTAAGGAAAAAGCTGCTGTCACATCTGAGTCATATAAAAACTTTAAATACGTTATATCAGTTTCGTACGACTTTTTGTTTTTGTGCTAGATTCTTCACACACGCATACCATTTTGCGGGTTGTTATTTGGACTCTTAACGTGTATTTTCCTTGAAAACTCAGATTCGAAAATTTTCACGTTCGCAATACTTTGTCTTGTTATGCATTACATATATAGGTAAGTGAAAGTACAAAAAACGATTATTTTTCTTTTTATTAGGAATTGAAAATATTCATTTAAATTACCTTTAATTGCCCAAATTGTTTAGTGAATTAATGAAAAAATTATGTTTGATTTGTATTTTGAGGGTAAATAAATCAGTGGAAAATGGATAGAAAAATTTATTCTAGGAATCCTTAGGGAAATATAAATAGTGATGGGAATACTTTCACTTTTTTTTTTTTTTTCAATCTCTGAAACACTTCGGCGCTGCTAGACTCAGAAATATTAAGACAGCCAACTCTATGACTCGGCCTCCACAACTTCAATATACTTAAGACTAACTATTTTTAATAAATAAAGAAAGCTGTTATTCTTTTCAAAGAAATAGCCACCATGGGTTATTACTCAATTGTTATATGATTCCCCATTAAGTATCACATAGCTTCGGTTTTTGACTGAACCCAATTTCACACTCAACAGGTCTTATTAAAATCAGAAATTTACGATTATAAATAGTATTTGAAGAACACTAGGCTATATTTAGTGAGTATAGAAGTATATATTGAAAGATGAACACACGTTCGAACGAAATAAAGGGGATGATAGATAATAAATCTCAACATAACATTCCAGAAGGCAAGGATTGCTCGAAACAAAATGGGTGGATTTTCAAAATTAAATTATTTTATTTAGAGTGAGCTTTTTTTATTTTATTTTATTTTATTTTTTTGTCTGTTAAAACTTGAAATCCTAACAATTATCGACTCAATGTTTTTCACATTAGTTACTATTTATTTCAACATTTTTCCTTGTTTCCCCATTTTTCCTGTATTTTTGTCCCTCAGGATAACCACATATACTGTGAAAAGCACAGAAAAACTTAAAAGAATAAAGCATTGTGAAAACTGGGATGATGAGCGCGGAGAAAAGAATAAAGTTTATTATATACACTTTGATAGTATGTGGGACGTTATATTTACTGCCTCTACAGCATAATGTGATTAAAATTCATGATCTGCACGATTATCGATTTATTATTTTAATTTATTCATGATAAGTAATTTATTCTAACATAAATCCCTTTATGTCATTGAAAAATATTTAAAGCAAATGTAACAAATGTTTATTGAATCCCCATCCCCACATATATTATTACAGTAAGGCTCGAAATCGGTTTTGTACCAAATATAAGCTCCTGTCATGCTTAAATAAAATGAATGGGGTACCATTGGATTCAGAATTTTATGGGGACTTAATGAATCGTATTCTCCGATTTCGTTTTTCTTTCTAAAATAAATAAATTCGATATAAACATTTTGCTAGGCTTTAATATTTGAACGGTGGTACGTCTGTAGATTGATGCGGGACAAATTGGGTTTTGAACATTTTGATGCGTACAGCAAGTCCTTTGGAACTATCGGGTCCTGCGTTTTTAAGCATAAAAACGTACTATTTTCGAGATAACGCAAGGCTAATAGTATGTGGGGTTCGCATCCACACAACCTTACGTTAATTGTAGTACTGTCATTGGATACATGTCTCATTTCGTCGACTTGATAGAGAGAAGAGGAGTTTATATTATTTATCGATGGTGTTTCTGATAGGAAAGCCATATCATCGTTAATTCTTCACCAATCAATATTGAGCCACCAATTTTGAAGGCTTCCTTGTCCTTCAGGCAGGCAAAATAGTCCAAACACCCTGTGGGCGGGGTGGCCGAATGGGCTAAAGCGTGTGCACTGCACCGCCGTTGCCTGACAACCTGACATACGAATCAAAGATATAAAAATAGGCACGAGTTCGCGTCCCGGTGCCGGGGGAGTCTTTTAAATCCCTTTTAAGAAAGGGAAGGAACGGGAAAAAAAAAAATTCCAAACACCCTGAAAATTCAGGCAAACAATTTATGAAAGAAAAGACACTTTATTTGCGAATACCTAAAAAATTACACACGTTTTCCTTAGTTATGCCCATGAACGTATAAAAGATTACTAAATTCCCTATAAAAGGAAAAAAATCATCGAAATCGGACAATTTTTATCAATGCTACAGCTTATTTAAATTTGTAAACATGTTGGTTCCAAACATTAATGAAGTTTTAAATTTTTTTTTTTTTCCTTTGTCCTCCTTCAGGCGGGAAAAATATCCAATCGCCCTTTTCTCTAGGTTATGTCCATTATTAAGTAAAGAATTACTAAATTCCCTAAAAAAGAAAAACAAATCGGAATCAAAATTATTAGCAAACATACAGCTTATTGAAATTTTTAAACATGTTGGTTCCAAATATTAAGGAAGTTTTAAATTAATTTTTGTTTGCTTTGTCGATTATATTTAGCAAGAATGTAACAATTGATTTTTCTATCTTATAATATGTTACATGATTTTATTTTCTTATCAATTTGTTGTTTGATCACTGCACAATATACTTTGCGGATCTTTCGCATCGGCCTTATAGTAACAAATTACTGTCGAACCAAAACAGCATGGTCACTTAAAAAATACAATAAAATTGTAGTAATTAATAAATCGTTAGTTTATGACTGTTAATGTTGGGGGATATGGATAAGAGCTGGATATTGATAAAACATTTGTTTTTCTTCCTCACTGTTTTTATTTTTAGTTCAACTTCTTTCGTTTATGTATGGTCTTTTCCTTGACTAGACTAGATAGTCTATACTTCAATAATGCCCATGAACGTATAAAAGATTACTAAATTCCCTATAAAAGGAAAAAGATCATCGAAATCGGACAATTTTTATCAATGCTACAGCTTATTTAAATTTGTAAACATGTTGTTTCCAAACATTAATGAAGTTTTAAATTAGTTTTTCCTTGTCGATTATTTTTATCGATACAGTAACAATTGAATTCTTTATCTTTTGATACATTGCATTATTTTATATTCTTATTAATTTGGCATTTGATTACTTAACAATATGCTGTGCAAATTTTTTGCACGGGCCTACTGTATTTAATAAATAGGAAATACTGGGGTATCTTTCTCTGTTTTATTAATAAAAATATATTGAAATGAATAGCGGAATATCGAGGGATTTTTTCCCTCCAATTATATCATATATTTCGTACAAGAATATAACGTGGGTGGAGGGTAATCAATTCTTCCGTCATTGAATACTACTGTTTCCAGAACTGTGGAGTGGGCTAGTTCTGGACATGATTAGCTGTTCGGAAAAACAGGGAGGAAAAGCTTTTGAAAAAAATGTTGTACCATTAATGTTTGTGGTAAAAATGTCACTAACATTCTCTCTTCCTCCCACTCAACTTTTCTAAACTCATACAATAGAAATGACATGCATATAATAAATAATGGATAAACATACATATAGATATAGAATGGATAAAATTTCTGAAAAATTTCTTTAGAAGAAAAATAGCATTCGAAATATAAAAAATTCCAAAACCTTTCCTGGAAACAGTGATACATTTTAAAGTAAAATTTAAAAAATAAATTAACAGAATTGACACATACAAAATATGTTCATAAGACGAAGAAATCAAAACGAATAATTATTGGGATCACAAGCATTGGAGTTTCGATTTGGAATAACGTTTTAACTTTGCAATCATGAAAAATTTCGAATCTACGTTCTAAGGTTCCCTTAATCTAAATAACCAATTTCCACAAAATGGTCTATGCTGATTCTTTCTTATGTTATTTGCAGTACAGTATTTAATAGATGATCACTTTAACAGTTTAGGTGAGTTTATGAATCCACAATAGAACAATGTTAAAAAGAATCTAATATGCCTGCTACTAGGTAGTTACAACCGTTTGTGATGGAAATGTAAGTTATGTGAACGATATGTTCGTGAAGTCCACACTATACCAATTTGTTTTAGGGTGGCTAAACCCTTACCACGGCAGCGTTGTGGTTGGGGGGCACTAACCCCACGAGCCCCTAATAGTTGGCGCCTATGTGTCATACAGGTGAATTTCCTTTTGATTAGTATATGTTTTTAATTGCCACACTTCTTTACATTTTACCATCATCAGAAACATAACTGCTCTTAGCCTGTTTTATGAACAGTCTAGCTCCAAAACTAAATGACAGTCGAAACTGAAATTACGTATTGAAGGTTGACATATGCCTGAAATGTTCCAGCAACTTTTTCTGTAGAATCGACTAACCGAATTATCACTTTATTATTGAAGTTGGTCTGTTGGTTGGTTGGAAGTTTTGTTGGTAAATATTGAAGCATGTCTGATTTATGGACGAGATATTACCTCCAGATCTCAATAACAAACCAGTACGGCACTATTAGGTACCGCAGTCAATGCTTATAAAATTTATTTTGTCCTTTATAATATAAAATTCTAAAAATCATCAACATTCTTGCAATTATATATCCGTTATTTAAAACTGTATTAACATTTACCAATTAATCGTTTTCTTAAGAATAAAAAAGTAGGATTATAATTATTAACTTGTTTAAACACTATTCCTAACTAATATAATTGAGAAACTATTCTAATTAAAAACTTTTAAAGTTGAACCAAGTTTACTATGAGTTAATAGGTATACCCTTTTTGTTAATGCCCAAGGTTCATTAATCAATATAAAACTTAATTTACGAGATAAATTTCTCTTTGTAAGGTAGAAGTACTTTTTAACTTTATAAAGAATTAATTTTTAATAAAATTCTCTGCCAAGTAGAGTTTACATATCACCTTGATCATATCGATTGCTTACATAACTACCAATAGTTCAAGATATTTTTTTAAGAGTATTATTAAAGTATAGACTATCTAGTATAGTCAAGGAAAAAAACCATACATAAACGAAAGAAGATGAACTAAAAATAAAAACAGTGAAGAAGAAAAACAAATGTTTTATCCATATCCAGCTCTTATCCATATCCCCCAACATTGACAGTCGTAAACTAACGATTTATTAATTATTACAATTTCATTGTTTTTTTAAGTGACCACGCTGTTTTTGTTTAACAGTAATTTGTAACTAGTAGGCCCATGCTACAGATTCGCACGGTATATTGTTCAGTGATTAAACAACAAATTAATAAGAAAAGAAAATAATGTAACATATCATAACATAGAGAAATCAATTGTTATTTTCTTGCTAGAATGTTTATTTTCTATATAATTGACAACGGAAACAAAAATTAATTTAAAACTTCTTTGATATTTGGAACCAACATGTTTACAAATTTCAATAAGCTGTATGTTTGCTAATAATTTCGATTCCGATGTTTTTTTTTTTTTTTTTAGGGAATTTAGTAATCTTTTACTTAATAATGGACATAACCTAGAGAAAAGGGCGATTTGATATTTTTCCCGCCTGAAGAAGGACAAATGAAACAAAAATTAATTTAAAACTTCATTAATGTTTGGAATTAACACATTTACAAATTTAGCTGTAGCATTGATAAAAATTGTCCGATTTCGGTGATTTTTTTCTTTTTGTAGGGAATTTATATATTTTATACAATCATGGGCATAACTAAGGAAAAAGTGTGTAATTTTTTAGTTATTCGCAAATAAAGTTTCTTTTATTTCAAAACTTGTTTGCCTGAATTTTCGGAGTGATTGGACTATTTTGCTCGCCTGATGGAGAAGGAAGCCTTCACAATTGGTAGCTCAATCTTGTGATTTGATGAAGAATTAACGATGATATGGCTTACCGACAAAAAAACACCTTTGATAAACAATATAAACTCCTCCTCTCACGATCATAGTGGCCTCAAGTCGACGAAATAAGACATGTATTCAATGACAGTAATACTAATTAAAGTAAGGTTGTGTGGATGCATTGCATTATCTCGAAAATAGTACGCTATTGGGTCTAAGCACACAGGGCCAATAGTTCGATAGTTTCGAAGGAAATACCCACGTCTAGGTGTATGCATCATAAACTTCAAAGCCCTATTTGTCCCGTATCGATCTACAGACTTACAACCGTTTCAATATAGAGACCTAGCAAAATTTTTATATCGACTTTATTTATTTTAGAAAGAAAAACAAAAGCGGAGAGTACGATTCCCTATCCTCCCCCCCATGAAATTCTGAATCCAACGGTACTCCATTCATGGTATTTGAGCATGGCAGGAGCTTATATTAGGTACAAAACCGATTTCGTGCATTATTGTAACCATATTTGTGGGGAATAATTAACATCAGAATAGTAATTAAACAAAACAATAAAATAGTAAATAAGTTAAGTAGTTATATTTACCTTGATAGCATCTTTAACCTGAGCAAACGATGGGCTTTTCTCGTAGACGATGACAAAAGTAAACCACTTGAATCTTGTCAAAAGAGCAACGACGGATTTGGAAACCTGAAAAATGTAATTTTTATTAAATACAACTTTTATTAATGTTTTTCTTATTCTTCTAGTCCGTGGTATAGATCCCTTTTTATCGAATTATTAATATTCACCTGAAACTTCGTAAATAGTTTCTTCTCATCGTAACCTACAAATATTTTATTTACGAAAACTCTTGGAATTTGGGCGTTTTCAAACTGGAGGTGGCCAAACTTTGTCTATTAAATTTGGTATTAAAAACTCGTAAATACCCATTTACTTTCTATTCGGATAGTAAGATAAATTGATCAAAAAATCAATAAAAAAGGGTGACCTACAAAAATATTGGACCGTTTGTCCTATATAACCTGGTTATTTTTAAATTTTGGGGGTGTGACAAACGGCTCAATATTTTTGAAAGCCACCTTTTTTCTCGACTTTGTGATCAAATTATCTTATGATCCAAGTAGAAAGCAAATGTGTATTTACGAGTTTTAGTACCTAATTAAATAGACAAAGTTTGTCCCCCTCCAGATTGAAGACGCCCCAATTCCAAGAATTTTCGTAAATAAAATAGTTGTAGGTTACGAAGAGATGAAACTATTTACGAAGTTTCAGGCGGATATTAATGATTCGATAAAAAGGGACTACTCGATAAAAAAAAAATTAGTCTTCTAAATTGATACAAACCTTTTTTATACATAAATCTTATAGCTTTTTCGTTTTTTACAAATTAATCTAAGTTTTTGATAAAGTCTTGATTTGGCATTTTAATATTAAATGACTTTTTGCAGACAGAATGTTATATTACTCAATAAAAAAAATATAATAAATATTCAAAATGACTTTTTGCAATAAACATACGATATAATCATCATGTACATTATTACAGCAGTAAGAAAAAGCTTTTTTAATTTTTAATGAAATTTACAACTGTATTACATGAAAAATACAACAAGTAAATGTGACATTGGTAACATGACATGTACAACATGAAGGGAAACTAACCATTGGTAGAACTCAAATTAAAGTTCTATATTAGAAGATCCCGAGGCCATCTTCTTTTCAGACGCCTCGGATGGTTATCAGGGATCGAGGAGGAATCAAGGTTTGAAACGAGAGGGTTCGGATGGAATATATTTGTTATGGAAGGATAGGTATCTGGATTGGGCCAAATCGGAAACATATGGAACATTAAATTCTTTGTGGATGATATTATTTGTGACAAAGTAAGGAGCGTTGATACTTTAACAAACCCTTAAACTTTAAACTTTAACAAACCCTTAAGTTTAGAGGTATAATGTTAAATACCACAAAAGTTAGTTTTGTTTTTTACTTGTAAAAAACTTTCATTTTAATTATTCCTGTTATGATTGAAAGACATGTCACTGCATTATACTATTTCTTTCTTATTTTTAATAAGAATATGAAAATTTGAAGAATTTTGAAACAAATAACATTAAATTAGTGCAAACGCGTATTTGGGACAATAAGTATTTGGTGAAACGGGCAGCGGAAATCTCAGTAATATATGTATATAGACTGCTAACAGCAAGGAGGCTAAAAAATGTTCAAAGTTATTTTATTTATTTTTTTCATTTATTTTTATAGAGACTCATAACTTTAGATGAATAAGTGAATAATTTTTACAAATAAAATAAATAAACGGTTTAAAATTTGGATATAATTAAAATTAATATGTTTCAATTTCATTCATGTTTTTTTTATATGTAAATTTTCTAGCAAAAAACGTTTTTTTAACATATATTGATGCTGATACTGCACCATTATAAACTAATCAATATGGTTTTATCTTCATTCATAATAAATAAACGAAACATTATTACATGTACATTTCTGTACTGCAGAGGAAAATGGTTGGATGGTCACTTTTATTTAAAATGTGTGTTTATATACACTCGCTCTTAAGATTATAAACCTTGAGGTTCAAAACTGGATTATTCACTGTATAATAATAATAATGTTTTATTTATTCTGGGACGAGTCCCTTTAGAATAATATAGAACGACAAAAATGTGGACTGAGGAGCCTCACGGATACATAAAAGAAATATAGAGTAATTAAATAGTCATAATAAAAAAATTATAAGTAACTATATAATTTAAATCAGTTAATAATAAAAAATTGAAAATAAACATGAAGTAAAAATAATGAAGAACGATCTAATAATTTATATACATATTTACAGTAGTAAATATTTACAATTTTATAGGGACTAGATGGATCAGAAATGATTGAAAAGGCGGGATTTAAAGGTAGGAAGGGTATTGGATAGACGGATGTGGGCATGGATGGAGTTCCATAGGGATGAGGATCGGATAATGAACGATGGATCCTTATGTATAGAACAGAAGACCGTGAACGAATATTGAGGGAACGAACAGAGAATTTGAATTGAAGGAGCTCGGAGATGTATGAAGGACGGTGGGATTGGATGACTTGAAAGAGGAAGGATGCCAGAAAATACTTACGACGCTAGGAAGGATAAAGCCACTTTAACTTTACATAAAAACGGGAAACAGAGGCGTCCCTTGGGATGCCGAAGATGAATCGTACAAAGCAATTTATGAAACGTTTTAATTTCGCCTCGAGATCCCCAGAGACGCCCCCATATACCGTACAGCAATAGTCAAAGTGGGAAAAAATTAACGAAGTTATTATGAGCCTACGGGTTTCAAGGGGAAATAGGTGACGGGGGTAATTTAGACTATTAATAGGTAAGTAATTATATAATGGGGAATAATAAATAAAGTTATTAAATAACCATATTTTATCTTCTACTGCAGAATTTTACAAATGTGACAACCAATCTTTTAGCCCTGCGGTGCAGATTTACATTTCAAAGAAGTATGCAGTCTTCTATTACTATGGAAATTCATACGCATTAGTATGCAATCTCTTAACGTAGCATGGTCGGGACAAGCTTTGTTCATTTATTTATTTAATTTTTATTTCAAATTGTTTAAACAGGAATAGTTTAGTACAGTAATTTCATTTCACTTGTAATCTAAATTCTCAAACAAAATCATCAAAACGAATATCACTTACCTTTCGATTAACGAAAAACAAAGTCATAAAGATTCATAACTAATGGTCTATTTTTAGAAATCATGTAAAAAAAAGCTATGTTTTGAATTTCAAACAGAGAATTCAGCACAAAAATATTCAAATTTTGAATACTTATTATTCAGATGGAAATCGCTTATATAAAATTGGACTTTTCATTGACATTTCATCCGATAAATGAGTATTGATTTTTTACAATAAGAACTTTTTTTTTTTTTTATATTTGTTTATTTAGAAATATTACATTCTGTCACATCAAGGACATTTATAATAGTGTTCAGAGAAAGCACACTCACACTCTATTTACAATAAAAAAAAAAAATACAGAAACTTAATAATAATAAATACAATAAAATAAAATAAAAATAAATACAATAAAATAAAATAAATGTATATAAACAAAAGAACTAACCTAATCATACACACTCGGGCTTGAGTGGAGGAACTGGCCATTGCCAAAACTCCAATAGATGCTTATTTACAAAAGGTCTCTGGGCCACTGCCGCTTCAACCTTCGAGGAGGATTGTAAGGATGGGTGGTGCTGGATAGAGATTGTGCAAGGGGATTTGGATGATAGGTAAGGTTCTGGTGAAATTTGGAGAATTTTTCTGGAATAAGGTCTAGGACAGATGGGATATTAAGGTCATGGTGTAGGATTTTGTTATTTACATAGAACGGAGCATCAACTATTGTTCGAAGGACTTTAGATTGAAAGGATTGAATACGTTTGATGTTAGAAGCTTTTGCTGTCCCCCACAGTTCAAGTCCGTATGTCCATATAGGTTTCAGTATTGTCTTGTAGATAAGTAATTTGTTTTCAATAGAAAGTTTGGATTTTCTGTTTAGTAGTCTGTATAGCTGGCCGTACCGTCGGTTGAGTTCTTGTCTTTTGAGTCTAGTATGTGGGTTCCACGTTAGTCTTCGGTCTAAATGAAAGCCAAGATGCCGGACTGTGTCTGAGTAAGGAAGCTGGATGGAATTAAAGTGTACTGGTGGACAGGAACTGCGTCGGAGTGTAAAGGTAATATGTTGGCATTTAGATTCATTAACTTTAATGCGCCAGTTATTACACCAGTGCTCAATCAAGGTGAGGTGGTTTTGGAGATTTAAGGATGCTATGTTGGGATCTGAGTAGGATGATAGAATGGCGGTGTCATCAGCAAAAGTTGCCAGGAAGGTATCGGGATGGACAGGGATATCGGCGGTAAAGAGGATGTAAAGGACGGGACCCAATACGCTACCTTGAGTAACACCTGCCTCAATTGGATAGCAATGCGAAAATTCAGTACCGCAACGAACTCGGAAGGTACGATCTGAGAGGTAGGAACGGAGAACAAGGTACAAGGACTGAGGAAGATAGTTTTTCAGCTTGGAAAGAAGCCCGGCGTGCCATACCCGGTCGAAAGCTTGAGCTATGTCCAGAAATGCACCCGAGCAATATTGCTTGCTTTCCAATGCTGCGGAAATATGATCAACCACTCGGAGTCCTTGTTGGACTGTAGAGTGTTGTGAACGAATTCCGAACTGATGGGAAGGAAGAGTTTGGGATTCTATAAAGGGTAGGATGCGTTTCAGGAGGATCTTTTCAAAGATTTTTGAGAGAATCGGAAGAAGGCTAATTGGTCTGTAGGACGTTGAGGTGTTGGGAGGTTTGCCTGGTTTCGGAAACAGGATAATAGTGGAATGTTTCCACAAAAGAGGAAAGTGGATAAACAATAAGAACTGAATAAGAAAAGTCAAAAGAAATATAAAAATCCATATATTTGCTCTTCCTGTGAGTTTTTTCATCAGATATTGCAGATTTCATCAGTTTATGTTATTTGGTAAAAAAAAAGCTAGTTGCTCCAATACAGTTCAGCTTAGGATAAGCGTTATTGTTAACGCCACAGGGAATTAATTTTATTTAAACAATAATCTAATTAATTGTTATTTTGGTTCATTTCATAAGATAAAATCAATTAATAATAATAATAATTATATATATATATTCATAGGCGCATAACTTATCTTGTTTATTTTCGATAGTCTGGTTAATAGTTTATTCTTAAATTGTTATGGATTGTAGCCCTAGCTATAAACAAGTCCTAGGTTCAAGTCTTCAGCCCATAGACTTCGCAATACCCAGTCTGACACAGTCCATCACTGAGCTCAGTGCTGCCAACCTTGATGCTGCCCATTGCAGTCCTATTGAACGAGTTGGATACTCTTTAACGTGGATTTGCTACTGTCCATTTGCAGCCTTTTATATATTTATTAGTTCTACAAGATCAATGTTTAATCGCTGTGGGAGGACTGAAGTGCCAGTGGTTCGCCACCTGCGTGCAACCACGCAACGTTCAACTTTTGTTTTTGGGTTTAATATAACTTTCACGGTAATGTAAGCAATATATATTTTTTTTCTCTATTATTGAGTGCAGTTTGGGACAGTTACATGTCATTTCTTTATTTCATATTTTAGTATTGGTTTTTATTTTTCGTTGTTTTCTATTTATTTTTGTTTTCATTTAAAAGAAGTATTTTATTTTATATAAAGTTTTATTTTAGTTACAACAAGTGTAAAATTGTTTTCATATTATTTTATTTCTTTATTAATATATGTAAATATTTTAAAATAAATTTTCAATCGATACAGTCTACTTTTTATTTTTATTACAATTTGCTTAATTCAAATCATAGTTAAGCTTTATTCGAAGTTTAATTTAAACTAAGAGAGAACTTGACAGTTATCTAAGTTTAGATAGATTTCACCCCTCGCTCTAACGAAGCTCAGCTTAGCAATCGATTTTAAACTTAATAGGTCGACCATGGCCTCTTAAGCTTTACTTTGAAAGATTAACTTAGGTAACTAGTAACCTTCCACTGTATCGTTTGTATTTATTAACTTGATCAAAGGTGAGTTTCAACTTATGCTTTAAAGATCTCGAAGAAATTCAGAGACATAAATGTACACTCCATTCAGCATCGTGTAGTCTATGTAATTAATTAGTTTTAGTTTTTATCTAGTTCAATTGCTGATGTGTTAGATTTATTCCTAGGTCTTGTTTTGTTTTTAAATAGGAAAGTATATAGCTGAAGTTGAATATATTAAATAAAAGTTGATTTTAAAATGGATTTCAATAATTCTATAATTTAAAATGAATACAAGGTGTTTTTTTCTTCTTAATTTTATAATTAGGTGTCCATGGAACTTAAGAAATTATAGTAAAATTAAATAAAAATGGTAAAATAAATATTCTATATATTAAGAGAAATAAACACTAGTATGAAAACTCAAACAAAGATCTGTAGAAAAACCTGAGAGTAACCTACTGCCTTTCTTAATCTCTGTTTAGATTTAACCTTACACCAACAACCGAAAGCGGTGATAAGGGTGCTGAGCTGTTACTAGTACTTAAAACTCAGGTAAGTGAACCTTGGTGAGAACTTAGAATGACGCAACTGGCCGTATAGTGTAAATATTAAAACTAAGTCAATTGATTATTCATTAAAGTTAATTATAGCGATAAATTATTTTTATTAACAAATGGTTTATTTGATTCACGAAGATATAGTCTTGTGGTTGTTATATTTCTATTCTCCAAACTATTGCTTAGTAGTTAATTAAATAATCAGCCGCAAATAAAGTTTTTGCAGATACATTTCCAATTATATAAGTTATAAATTTGTAAAAAAAAAAAAATATTTTCAACTTTTGTTTCCAATTATAATTTTTGTCATTAAAATATAATACTATTGTACATAACTTATTTTATACTCCTCAATGGGCAATCGTGCCCGGAACACTGGGCTGGGGCATCCTGTCCTTATCTATATCATGTTACTTAAGAAGTAAAATGTGTACAATGCTAGAAAAGAAGTAAAGATTACCTTAAAGTTCATCGACTTATTTATTCAGCAGATCCACCGCAAAAGAAATGCGTCCTTTGATATCAAAGGTCGTTAATGAAACATAATTTATACCAGAATGAGTTTTGGTCTTCTCAAAGAATATTGAGTCCCTTTAAGGTAAATCATTAATTCACTAAATTAAGTGAAACATTTATTGGCTGTCTGACGCCTTGTAGATGACGTTTCAGCGATTTAATTTTACAAATATCGTTTTCTTATTTTAAAATTTACGGAATTATTTATTTTTGTAATAAATAATATTTTACGATTCGAATGGCATTATGAAGTTTTCATTAAATTTTTTAAAACGTTTTAGTGTGATTTAGTGAGTAAACATAGTACACGGGTATAAGTATTGGCGTGCCCCTAACTTGTTTTGTCAGGTGGGCCGATTATAACTGAATCAGTTGGATTATTACAACAGATTTAAGGGTCGTTGTTCAACTTTTTCAAGTCCGTGGTACATATCCCTTTTTATTAAATTATTAACATCCTGAAACTTCGTAAATAGCTTTATCTCATCGGAACCTACAAATATTTTATTTGCAATAATTCTCGGAACTGGAGTGTTTTCAATCTGGAGATCGGCAAACTTTGTCTATTTGATTAAGTACTAAAAACTTCTAGAGTATTCATTTGTTTTCCACTTGAATCGATAAGATAATATGATCATAAAATCGAAAAAAGGTGGCCTACAAAAATATTGGGCCGTTTGGCGTGACCTCCACCTCCAAAATGTCAAAATAATAAAGTTATACAGGCCAAACCGAATATTTTTGTAGGCCACCATTTTTTTCGATTCTGTGATAATATTATCTTACAATTCAAGTGGAAAGAAAATTGGTATTGATGAGTTTTTAGTATCTAATGAAATAGACAAACTCTGCCGATCTCCAAAAGCCCCTCGGCACCGGGAAGCAAACTCTTAGTTATTTTGTTATCTATAACTTCGGTTACCAGGTTGTCGGGTAACAAGGAGTGCTATGCAGATGCATTAGTCACTCCGCCACCGAATTTTATACATCTATCTCTCCTTATGAAACTTCCTTATATTTAAAATGTTCATGAATAAAATTTATTTAGGTTCCTTGAATTAAAATAAAAAACACCCTGCTGACACATAAGTGTCAATAAACCGTACAAAATGTCACATAAAATTTAATAAAACAAAAAAACAAATATTTCAAATTAATTGAACTCACCTTAGTAGAGGGTGGAAGCGTCCTAGCAAAAGTATGATAGACCCTCTTGTCAGATACAAGTTTGTCAGCACATTTCTGAAATAAAAAAGTTTTAAATTATTTTTTTGAATTTTCAGTAGATAATTTATCAATTTATGTAATTTATTAATCGGCATGGTATATGTTTTATGCCCTTTACGACCTGGCAATTAAAAATAAAATATTGTGTGGTTAATTTCATATTTTCTATCATTTCCCCCCCCACCTTCTTACTCCAAAAAGTGTTTCTTACTAAAAGGATAAATCAATTAGTATAAACGCTGACCGCAGTAGCTTTCGACAATATTGTTAAGTCTAGAATTAAGCACCGAGAGTTAATTTAATTTCCAATTAATATATAATTAGTTAGGTAGTCAACTTCTACAAGAAGTGTTAGAGATTACTTACCTATATTTGATTAAGAGAAAAGACACAGAATATTGCGAATTCTGTGAAGTAAAGGATAACTCGAAACATATATTGATGTCGTACATTAAATATGCTGCAGGAAGATATCATTTCATCAATAAAAATAAAATTCTAATAAATAAGAGCAATCCATCTCATATTGATATAACAACAAACCCTAATTCTGTTCTGGAACCGTTATCTCACTTTTGTCAGCTCCTTAGGTATTAAATTATAAAAATTAAAGGCTGTTAGTTAATGATTCACCTAAATGATCATTTGGAATAATTTATATTTAAAATTTTGGCTAACGGCGTCTAGCAAAAGCCTTGTATAAAAAATTAAAATCTAGTGCTGTGCAATCATCACACACATTTCACATACCACCCTCTTCTTAGCATAAATAAGTATTTACAGACAAAGTGAAAGTAAAAGTAAAAATTATAAAAGCTTTATTGATTTATATTTCATTGTGGTTGTTTTTATTTGTTTAAGCATACAAAGTATACCCTTACATATACAAATTTTAATATTTATATCGCTGTAACCTATACAATTAAATATTAAATAATACCAACGAAAACACATAGAAAATCCGCATATGCATATGTACATAATATGTTCGGAATCCGTATTGTATTAAGCTCATGTTACTATGGAAGCCTCTTCTAATCTTCGGGTGAGCTTGGGCGCGCTCTAGTAACACTTTCATTTAGGTTCTTTCATTACAATTATTCTCTGTTACGATCTCTTATTTCTCATTTAGTTAATTATCAAATTCTTTCATATTTTATATTTAACTATTGTTTTTATTCGAGTTCAATGTGAAGAGGTTAATTGTTTCAAAAAAAAAAAATTAAAGGCACTTTATAGAAAGCTAATATTGAAAATTAGCTATCTAAACCCTATTTAGAACATAAATGACAATAGAACCTACATAATACTAAATATTGCTTAATTTAACACTGATATAATGAATTTAATCAAAGCCGTTGTAGCTGTTTTCGAGAAAATAGTAAAAATGTGTTTCATTGATGATATAAAGTGATGATATAAGTTAGCCGATTTTGACGAAAAAGTTGCTGTAATATCTCGAGTATATACAAACTTTAAATATGCAATTTTACCTTCATACGACTTTTCATTTTTAAGCGAGACCTGTCACATATATACAGATACACACAGACCATTTTGCGGAACTTGGTTATTTCGACTCAGGAGACCTCAAAACATGTATTTCCGTTGAAAATTCAGATTCGAAAATTTTCACAATCGCAATACTGTCCCTTACTATATATTTCATATATACGTAATTGAAAGTAAAAAAAGAGGGTTAGAGATGTGTATATTGTTGACTGTTATTTGAAAATTATAAGAATAATAAATATTCAAAATTTTTAGTCTTTACCTATATGGTTTAATATTCTTGCAGACGTTTCGACCATGCATGTGGGTGATGACCCACATTGCTTGGGTCGAAACATTGGCAAGCAGTATAACTTTAAAAACAATCTAAATTATTTGTCGTGTTTATAAGAAAGGTTAGATTACTTTTTTTTCCAAACGAGTTTCTTGATCTAAAAAAAATCGTTTTAATATAAAATTGTTAACCCTACTTTAATTAAAATTTATATGAATTGGTACTGAGAAGAGATTAATTGCGTTGTTAAAATTATTCAGTTGGTTGAAAATGTTTAATTTCTTTGACTCACTGAATAAACTAAATAATGTGAGTCTGACATATCCTATTCAATTTATTTTCCTTGTATCTGATTTTACCTTGTCATATATGAATGCTTTCAGTTTGTTTGTTTTTTTCAGACAAGCATCGGACTCTTCGTGGAATAGATAAAAAGAATATTTTGTGATAGATATCTGTAGCACATTTCTGGAAAGGATGGAACTGAAATGAAATCGTACATGGTGTATAAGTTTGGAATGACAGTTTTGTTCCGTCGGTTTCAACTTCAACTGCATTCTTCATTTTTACTCGTGTCCACTGTGAATTGTTTACTTTTTATTCATCAAGTTTAAGAGTGGAAAAAAAAATAAACGAAAGACTGATTTGTTTAAACCGAAAAAAAGACAAGTTTTCAGAAGTTGAGCTAAGACTTCATCCTCTTTGAAGGTTTTGTTCTTTCCCGAAAAACGAAGATAGCCTTTCTCTTTCGTCCATATTTCTACATTAATTATTCCACAACATAAACTAAATTAGTACTTCACCAACCACAACGCAGTTATCTACATCACTGATTCTATAGACGGTTTCTGCATACGTCCAAGCTTGCACGTAAGTTCTGGTAAATAAATTCCACGGATCGATCCAGAAATATCGGCGGATTTTGAAAAAGAAAATCGGATAAAAAATTTTACCTGTTGGTTAAAAATCAGTTACAGAATGGAAAACTTTCGATCTGATCTGCAGACCATCCATTTGACTCCCACAGACCTAGCTCGTATGAAAACACGTGTAGCTGATTAAATATTTCAAATAGCAATATTTGTAAATATATAAAAAAAATCCAGTTACATAAGACATGGTAAACAAAGATAAATTGTAGCGGTTTAACTGATGTCTAACATGATCAACTCCTTTTACAATAATTGGTCGAGACATAATACTTGCTATGAAGCATTGAACCCAAGAACTTACTGGAAAGTTAATAGTGCAGTAATGATTTTTTTCAGTTATTTCAAATTAATATGTGAACAGGATCTAGATAAAGATTCAAGGAGGAGAACTAGTAGAATGGCCATAGAATTTGAGAGAAATATCACATTGTTAAAGGAGAAATTCTAATAAATGGATTAAATATATATTTCGTATCTCGAACTATTTAAAATCTCTTGTTGTACCCATAAGCAATGTTATTAATTTCATTAATGCGTCAATAAGGATCAATTATTTAGAAGGTGAGCCAATGTTTATAATTGTCTTATATCTAATGAATAATAATTTATTTGCAGCTAATCACGAATACTTGCATATATATATAGCATTTCCAAGTCAATTTCAACCTTTTCCAAATCAAATTCAACCTTTTCCAAGTCAAATTCAACCTTTTCCATTTCAAATTCAACTTTCGAATTTTTGTCAATTTTCGATTTTTTTCGAAATGAAAGCCACTTACTATATTATCGAAGCCATAGCTTTCGAAAAATACAAAAAAAATTTTGATAACGCGGTTGCATATCCATTTATGTTAACATTTAAGATTTTTTCAGTGTGATATTTCTATGTCATATTCAATTATTTCCAAGTCAAATTCAACCTTTTCCAAGTCAAATTCAACCTTTTCCAAGTCAAATTCAACCTTTTCCAAGTCAAATTCAACCTTTTCCAAGTCAAATTCAACCTTTTCCAGATCAAATTAAACTTTTTCCAAGTCAAATTCAACCATTTCCATTTCAAATTAAACCTTTTCCAATTCAAATTCAACCTTTTCATTTCAAATTAATGTTTTAAATTTTTGTAAACTTTACATTTTTTTTAAATAATGGCTATCCCCTCCCCCCATCCAATATGAAAGTCTATTATTATGCTCTCCTAAGAAGAATTTTCACTTACGGATATCGATTTATTGTATCTATTCGGATTTATTAGGGACTAGTATTATGCTGTCCTGTACCTAGTTTTGAAAATAACCTTCATTTTAAGATTACGTGTTGTCAACCAACAGTATAGTCAAATTATTAATTCTAAAGATTAAATATTAAATAAACTTTCAATGTAAAATGAAGAAAATTGTTTATTTTCTTAGAATAAAAGTATTACGTTTTGTAGAGACCTTCTTCATTTTTGAACTTACTTCTTCAGATAATTAAGCTTTGAAAAGTAAAATTCTTTTAATAATGAAATATTAAAATTCTTTTTATAATTCGTTTAAAGTTGAAATAGAGGCTATAGTCATGCCCTGTCTGTTATAACAGAGAGATGATATTTGAATCTCCTGTAGGAAATATTAAAAATAATCACAATATTTTTAATTATTTAATTTCCTTATTTATTTTAAAATTTGTTTTTGCATTTATCTTATATTAACTAGATAAGTGTCAATCGATTAGAATAGTAATCAATTGGCTACAAGGGACAGAATTTGGTATAAAAATATATTATTGGATATCAACGTTGTATATAAATATAAGTTTTAATTTCAATGGCCATTATCTCCATGAGTTCTATTTTTCACTCTATAAATAATAAAAAGGCTTAACGAACCCGAAGGTTCGATGCCGACACCACCAATCGCTTATTACACACCTCCCTCCACCGTTCGCCGTCCAAACCCAGTTCATTCAGATCAGCTTTAATGCAATCTTCCCACCTTCGCTTCGGTCTACCCCTCGGACGCTTACCATTCGGCACAGCAAATATTAACCTTTTAGGAATTCTCTCGTTACTAAGTCCAACAACTTTACAAGCCCATTTGATTCGCCGCGATGAAATTATCTCAATTATATTACTCGGATACAGTTCACGCAATTCGGCGTTGTGTAACCGTCTGAACTCTCCGGTTAACTCATCCTTCTTCGGTCCGAATATTCTACGCAATACCTTATTTTCAAAAACCTTAAGACGCTGCTCATCCCTTAATGTAAGCGGCCAAGTTTCGCACCCATAAAGAACTGTAGGCAAGATAATTGTTTTA